TATATATATATATATGTATATATATATATGTATGTATGTATGTATGTATGTATGTATGTATGTATGTTTGCCAGGGTTTTTCATAGTTTCTAGTTTACCCAGTTTAGGTTATTGCTTAGTTTGCTTTGTTTTTGCCCTTTTATTTTGTACTGTTCTGTCTGCCTTAATAAATAGCTCATCATCAGTGTCTGCACCTGGGTCCACTCTTCACACGCAGTTTGGCAAAATGCGTGGAGTGTGAAGATGAACACAGGAACACCAGACCTCAAAAGACCCAGGATTGTGACAAAAAGGAGACTTGATGATTAATTCAATTCAATTTTATTTATACAGCGCCAAATCACAACAACAGTCACCGCAAGGCACTTTGTATTGTAAGGTAGACGAGTAAGTACAACAAGGCACTCAAAAGAAGACTTTAGCAAAGAGAAGCTAGAACAGTCGGGAAGAAGTAGTACTGGGAGTCTCGGCATACAGCACAGAGAGAGTGGCAAAGGAAAAAGCTTATACTGAGTTGTATGTGAGGCTGGGCGCTAAGTAAAGGGAAAAGGACTCATACTGACTGGACAGGGAAGAGCGCGAGCTAGAAAGGATGTGCAGCACCTTCGGTTGATTAAGTCCAGAAATGTGCTAACACGTAAAGACAGTGTGTGAAGATGATTAATGTAGAAAATGAAAAAGAGATGAAGACGGAGGAAGGACAGTTATCAATAAGGATGATTAGTAAGGAGGAAGTGAGGGCAGCTATGAAGAGGATGAAGAGTGGAAAGGTGCTTGATCCAGATGACATACCCCAGGGCAGAGAAAAAGAGGGCAGCGGACTTTTTCACCAGACTACTTAAGACAATTTTGGAAAGTAAGTGGGTGATGAAGAAATGGGGAAGTGTGCTGGTACGGTTCAAGGACAGCTTTTATTACACCAACATATGTCTGACTAACAAAACCTTGGCTTGACGAGTAACGTATCGGAGGACTGAACTAGCCTGAAACTGGGTTCTTCACCTTGCTTCATTAACTGCGGTGGCCGGGTTATAAAGTTATGCACTGTCGGCATGCTTTGTTTTCGTTTAATTAATCCCTCGAGGGATAAAGCCAATGGACCAAACTATGAAACTATGAGAGAGAGCTGCTGAAGCTCGGTGACGAAGATTAGCAAGCATCAGTACGGCTTCACTGCGAAAGATGTTCACTTAAAGAGAAAAGGTAGGGAAGGTCAACAGTCTTTCTGGATCTAAAGAAAGCCTTTGATAAGGTGCCAAGAGAGCCCAGTGGGACAGCAGTGCGGTGGTAGGAGTGACAGGTTCACAGTACAGGTGGGATTACATCAGGCGTCTGCTCCTATGTTTGAAGACTACATTCTGATCTGTGGTGAGAGTAGAAGCAGGTGGAAGTAGGTGGAGGTGGAGCCCAGAGAGGTGGAGGTATGCACTGGAGAGAAGAGGAACGAATGACAGTAAAACCAAGACAAATACACGCAGGTAGAAGGCGTAGAGATAGTACAGATAGAAGAGCCATCCACAGCAACAGACCGCACAAGAGAGGTGAAGCAGGGAGTGGATGCAGGTGGAGTCAGCAGAGGCAAAGTTCAAGGATGATCTGTGATGGTAGTGAGGCCTGCAATGATATATGGTTTGGAGAGGCTGAGTTAAAGTTGTTTTCATTGGAAGTGACCAGGATGAAGAGCATAAGCTCAGTTTGAGCGGTTTGGAGATTAAGTTAGCGAGGCAAGGCTGAGATGGTTTGTGCAGAGGAGGGGAGTGGACGAAGGATGTTGAACATGGAGCTGACAGGCAGGAAGAAAAAAGGAGCCCAGAGAAAACAATCCTGGACGTAGTGGAGGAGGACAAGCACAGGGTGGGTATGGTGGTGAGCCGTAAAGGGAGCAGCCGAACGAAGACGACTGTGACGTCGTACGGATATACCAGTGACTAAAGATGTGCAGAGGCTTCTGTGTGCTCTGGAGTTTTCATGATGTGCAACAATGTCTGAAAACACAAAGACCAACTCTGCTGGCTCTAACACGTTTGTGGGACATGTGTGCCCTGTTTCTCCCCTTTCCTGTGCTACTCCATGTTCTGCTCTGCAGCATCAAAATACCAGTCATTTGTAGTAATTCGATGTAAAAGTTAAATCGGGGAAGAACTACAGGACAGAACAACGTTTCGGCATGTATACATGGTCAAGCAAACCACCTGCACCAACTGCATACTTATTCTGATAAGTCCTGGTATTCCTAATGCTTTCCTGTTCTTAGAGGGACTATCACAGCCACATTACCAAAATGATGCTTTTTTTCAGCACAAATAGCTTTGAATTGCCTGTTGCAAATCATGCCTGCATGACTCATTTAAATACTCCTTTTCTTCTAACTTCATGCTCTGAAAAGGACAGCGCGTGTCTCTGACTTCCTGGAGCTGAATCTGGACAGTCGCGTTTAAATGCTAAAAGGACGTTTAGTGGTGTCAGAAACAATAAATTGGGCTCAAATGTTGTTGCTTCATGCTAGTTAAGGATAAAAGTCTTGATTCAATCCTTTCAGAGGCTGTGATGTCTGTGAAGGTTCATCCAGGTCATCCAAGCTCCTTAGACTTTGAGGCCATAAAACACACCATAAATGAGGCCCCTGTGATGCGTGGGATATAAAACAACACTCCACGTTGTAGAACTGTGTCCCTGCACAGTAGGTGTGTACCTCACATCTGCACACCATCTTATCTGTCTGACATATCCCTGTGGTTAGCACCAACCTTCTGACTGGTTCAGTGTGGACGAGAGCAGCGTCTGTCATGACTTTCATCCAGGACTCCATCTCTTTGGCTGTGTCAGTGCAGAAGTAATATGTCCGCATGTTGGGGTGCGTGGCCTGAGTGAAGACAGAGGGAGAGCGATAATAAGATAAAACAGAAGTGCGAGAACCAAATCTGGATCATGACTTCATCACAAGTATCACACTGAACTGCCCAACACACAACTTTCTATGTGTATGTACAAGTATACACACATCTATGTGAGAAAAACATATTTTTTTATGTATTAGCATTTTGAACCATGAAATTCAGACACAGCCTCTCAACTAAAACTGACAGTAAAATGTTTGATATCAGTCTGGTGTGGTCAAGTGTGTGCACGAGGCAGGACATGGGATCTGTTGGGGTATTTCTACAAATGGACGCCTCTTTCAGTCTCAAACCTCTGATCAAACCTTTGGGGGTCAGTACATTAACCTCGTCAAGGTGAAACTTTGAGACTTTCTACCTTTTTTACATCTATAACTTGCACACTGTGAACCCTGTGAATACCCTAACCCTACCCCACCCCATCCAATCACAGCAGATGGCTCCGCCCCTCACTGAGCCTGGTTCTGCTGGAGGTTTCTTCCTGTTAAAAGGGAGTTTTTCCTCCCCACTGTTGCCAAAGTGCTTGCTCATAGGGGGTCATATGATTGTTGGGTTTTCTCTCTATGTATTATTGCAGGGTCTACCTTACAATATAAAGCGCCTTGAGGCGACTGTTGTTGTGATTTGGTGCTATATAAATAAAACTGGATTGAATTGCTGTCACATGAAAATAAAAATTACAAAGTAGTTACAAAGTAGCATGGATTGTTGCCATCAATAATAATAACATGACAAACCTTTAAAAAAAATGTAACTAGTGTTTACCTTAAAGGCATATTTCCTGCTGATGTGGTCATCCACCGACAACATAGATATGTGAAAACTGGGCAACAGGATGCTTCCTAGGATGCTATCCTCTTTTTCATCTGCAGCAACGAAAGAGAAAAGTCTGCAGGTTGAAACATATTTATGGCAGCAATCTGATTCAATAAGGTTTCAGACTGGGAGATTTGTGGGTCAGACTGGTACAAAATATTCTTCTTCTGTTTGTGTTATGTTTGCTCTTATTAGTACGTGTCAATCAAATGCATGGCCCAGAATGATAGGAGATAGTGTTGATATTTAAATATTCGTTTATCAAGCTGTAAAGATTCCCAGGAAGAACGAGGAGGGAGAAATAGCCTTTGGAAGAAGGAACATCGTTGGATAGATGTCAACATAGTACAAGTACATAAACTTCCCTGCAGCATGGCTTCCTTAACTGCAGCTTGAAGTTGTGTTGGGATTAGTGGAAACCAGTGGTATTTGTGAATCAGCGAAGTAATAACCAGTGCTTTCAGTTTTTTTAATTATATTTCCCGAGGCTTAAAACCTGGAGTCACTGTTAGAGATATTTAGTAGATGTTTTCATAGTGAATATGTGCCCTGCTGTAAAGAGCTGAAGTAAGAGAAACAAGTGAGGCAAATGAAGAAGAATGCAATACCAGTATATTTAATCATTATATACTGATGTCTGATTTTGCCATATATATTACAAAATTCTCCAAATGAAATTGAATGACGCCTCATGAACAATAACAGCTGTGATGGTTGCAGCTGTGATTCTGTCACCTCTGTGCAGTATCATGTTTCATGCGATCTAAAGGCAGCACAGTACATGCACTGCGGCACAAAACCACAGAGCCTCCAACGCGCATTACTGTTTGCTTTAGCCGAGGCGCTGCGGCTGCTCTGGCTCGTCCCTGATGCTGAATGGCTCCAGCTGGCTTACAGAGCCGACATCTCAACGTTATCAGATAAGAAAGCAGTGAGGAGGCGATATGTGACCTCTGTAAACACTTTGCTGTTGAGTTTATGATCTCAGTCAATCGTCATATTTAATAAAAATTTAATCTTGTTCATATTATGTTTCAGACGATTATGGGCTATGATTGGCTAATGACTGATGAATAAAAACTTGTTCTCGATGTTTCAAAATGGGACTTAAAAACTCTTTATGTTAAATATGTTACAAGTAACAGTTATTTCTAAATAGTAACTTTTAATTCATTCTGTGGTTTGTGGGACACAAACAACTGAAGAAAGTTTAGTATAAAAAAGAAATGGGTTGTAGTAGTTATAACAACAACAACGATGCTTTGGATGTGTCAATTTTTGGTTGGATCTATTAAATCTGGCAGATTTACTAAATTTGGACTCCAAGTTAATTAAAGCTGAATGAAATTTAATTCACGGATCCATGTCATGTTCATCTTAATCAACATAAAGTATACTTGTGTTTTTAAATGGAAATTTGGTGGCATGATAAAATGATGTTCATTCGACAGATGACTTTAATAATAATAATAATAATACATTTTATTTAAAAATGCCTTTCAAGACAACCAATGACACTTAATAATAGAATAAAACATGTAATAGAACGAAGACAAAATGAAGAACAATAGAAACAAAAGCACAAGATTAACAAACAGTGGGTAATGCAGGCAGCTGAGTTTTGAACCAGTTGAAGCTTATGGAGGTATTCTGGGGGAGACCATGCAAGAGAGAATTACAATAGTCAAGGCGGGAGATAACGAGACTGTGGACAAGGATGGACGTAGGCTGGGTGGAAAGAGAAGGATGTAATCTGTTAATGTTGCGTAGATGGAAGTAGGCAGAGCAGGTGAGATTATTGATGTGAGATTTAAAGGATAGTGAACTGTCTAGGATGACCAAGGCTCTTAACCTGAGGAGAAGGGAAAACAGTGCAGTTATCGATAGAGAGAGAGAAATGGTTCGCCTTCAAAAGGTTGGATTTGGTGCCAATAGGGAGGATTTCAGTTTTATCCTCATTAAGCTTGAGAAAATTAGAGCTGAACCAGGATTTTAGTTCAGATAGACATTCTGTAAGGGAAGAAGGTGGGAGGAATCAAATGTGTGGAGAATGGTACCAAGAGGATGTATATTATGAAGAGAAGAAGGCCTAAGACTGAGCCTTGGGGTACACCAGAGGTGACCGGGAAAAGACGAGAGCGGGATGATTTCAGTTGAATAAACTGGGAGTGGTCAAGGAGACATAACTGGAACCAGGCTAGGGTGTGAGAGATGGTGTCAAAGGCCGAGCTCAGATCCAAAAGGACGACTTTGTAAGATCACCTGCTCAGTGATTTCATTATGTTTCTAAAGAAATTAAAGAAAACTTGGATTATATTAGTGCTTTTTTGTGGTGATGGATTTGCAGACTGACAGAGAATAACTGACGTGGTATAACTGACATGACAGGCAACTTACTGTTACCTTAAAACATGAGCTTTATAAATAGTTAATGTCTAATCACTGGGAATAAACTGAGATCTGCTTATCAAATTGCACCTCTGAAAACTATGATTTAAGTCTTTAAATGACGTCTCTGCCTCGCTCTGATAATACCAAAATTGGCAGTGTAAATGTAAATACACTAATTTATTTTATCTCGATGAGCTCTGCAGTCGGAGGGATGATTAACATCTTTGCCCTTACAGAAAGAATAATTTACCACATTTCCAAGATCTCAACCTGAAGCAGCTCCTTAGAATAAAGCGACTGAGCCAGAAGGAGGCAAACGGAAAAAGAAAACGTTATTATCTGAAAGCTGTGCATGTCTCTTCTCTGGCTAGCAAAGCCAATCAACATGCAGCTCTCCCCTCGGGTTGTCGTGTAAGCTGCCGATCGCACCCTGGAAGAACCTGATTCATCAGTTTATGGAGATGGAAAAATCCCTCTGAAGGTGCAGAAAGCATTAAGGAGGAAAGAGGAGCTTTTATGAACGCAGTTCTAAATTTGTGATGTTGCACCACACGTGACCTCTAAGTAATAAAAACAGTACAACAAAACTGTTGATGTATTTCGTTATAACCATGTAAAGCACTTTGTGCTACATTTTTGTATGAAAAGTGCTTTATAAATAAAGATTGATTGATTGAGAAGTTCGGCCATCCGGGAGGGGCTCAGAGTAGAGCCCCTGCTGCTCCACATCGAAAGGAGCCAGCTGAGGTGGTTCGGGCATCTGACCAGGATGCCTCCTGGGCGCCTCCTGGGTGAGGTGTTCCAGGCATGTCCCACCGGGAGGAGGCCCCGGGGCAGACCCAGGACACGCTGGAGAGATTATATCTCTCGGCTGGCCTGGGAACGTCTTGGTGTTCCCCCGGATAAGCTGGAGGAGGTGGCTGGGGAGAGGGAGGTCTGGGCCTCTCTGCTTAGGCTGCTGCCACCGCGACCCGGCCTCAGATAAAGCGGATGAAGATGGATGGATGGATGGATGGATGGATGGATGATTGATTGATTATGTCAGCGTGTTGAAGTTGCTGGCCATGACAACGTTTTTACCACCACAGACTGATTCTTTGAAATGAAAGTAGAGCTAAATAAAGGTGTACTCAAGCTTGTAATCAATATTGAGAGGACAGTATTCCATCACAGAGACGGAATGAAAACCATTATGATGCCGTGTGATGGATAACAATCAAGTGTGCAAAACCTTTGCTGTATATTTATTACGACATTAGGCAAATATACTACTCAGAAATAAAGGCCTCGTATGTAAACAGTGCATATCTTCCACATCTTGATATTTGTAAACAGGTGTGAAGGTACACACGGTTGACAAGCCTCGAACTTTTCTTAAAGTGCCAACATGAAGAGATGCATGTGTGTTTGTGTGTCCTCACCACGGTAGTAGAAGAGGCACATGTCAGACAGGACGAACCACCTCTTCTTCCACAGCTTCATGCCTGTACTGTCCTGAGTGAGACAAAATATAACAATTATAGAGAACGTTATTATTTTCAAACACACGTTCTCATCTCTTGCTTCCTCTTCAAGTCTGAACTGGCTCTTCTCCAGCCTTTCCTGTTAAACAGCCTCCATCACCTCCTCTTTGTTATCTCTTCATAAAGCAGTGACAGATTTGCCTCAGTGGGTGCCTGAAGCAAAGACCTGTGCTCTGTTCGTGATGCCGACGCTCCCCTGGCACCTAATTACTGCATCAATGACAAGTTTTCAAGTCTTTGGTACTTTCAGCAATATAATGCGTTGGCCACACTGATATCAGCTCTGCAGTGAAAGGGTTTGCTGGGTGGAGTTGACTAAAACTTGACGAGGGTCATCAAGCTTTATTCAGTCTTCACTGCTATGGTGAGAGGTCCCCTAACCAGGCAAACACTGACCCACTACAGAGCTCCGTGGGGCACAACACTTAAAGAAAGTGATAAACACAAGCTGATTCAGGGTGGTGTGTAGCAGGCGAAGACACATAGCAGGAATACCGTACTCCCATTTACTAACTGTCCATAGTCACTGTAGTGTTTGCTGCAGCAGAGCTGAAAAATTCAATTCATTTTATTTACACAGTGCCAAATCACAACAGTTTCCTCAAGCTGCTTTATTTTATGAGGTAAAGTCCCCACAATAACAGAGAGAAAGCTGGGACAACCAAATGACCCCCAATGAACAAGTCCTTAGGCAACAGTAAGAAGGTAAAACTCCCTTATAACAGGAAACAACCTCCGGCAGAACCAGGCTCAGGGAGGGGCGGGGCCTGATCATTCTGGATTTAACAGGGAGCCAATGAAGGGAAGCCAATACAGGAGAAATCTGCTCTCCTTCTAGTCCCTGTCAGGACTCTTGCTGCAGCATTTTGGATCAGCGGAAGGCTTTTCAGGGAGTTTTTAGGATAATAATGGATTACAGTCGTCCAGCCTGGAAGTAACAAATGCATGAACTCGTTTTTCAGCGTCACTTTGTGAAAGGATATTTGGAATCTGTGGTCAGCCTCCTTTGGCCAGCTTATTATCCCAGCAGGTTACCTGAACACAGGCAGGGCGTAGGTGCCGACTGCCAGGTTTTAATGGTTGCAGCTTTCCTAGCGGCCTCTTTGTGATTCCCATTTGTAGAATTCCTAAGTACTTCTAGTTGTTGTCAGTGTTGTCTTCTGGTAGTACAATCACCTCATTTCTGACTACCTTTGCTCTCTTTGCAACCATCCAAATACACTTCTCCGGTCTGAACGATATTCCGATGTCATTGCTGTATATCCTGGTGGTGTGGATCACTGAATCAATAGAGGCATCATATGTTATTTCAGTATGCCCTATCTCCATCCTTGGTGGGGCTGTTCTCATATACTTCCCCGTGCCACGAAGCATAATCTTGGATGGTTCAATGGAGAACATCCACTTTATTCTCCTGGCTTCTGTCTCCAGTATCTTCAAGCAGCCAGCTAAGGCTGTGAGTCTTTGTTTGGCACTTTATTAGGCCACAGTTACAGACAGCTGTTGATACTTCTTAGGCAGCCCTTTCTTCATCACGCCTTTCAGCAGTTGCGACAGTTAGCTAACTACTCTGTGCTGCCTTGATCTTAGCCTCTACTCTCCTTCACCATCGACGGTACTGCTCCTTGTGGCTGCTCGTGTTTAAGCACCTCGGGCGACTGTTGTGATTTGGCGCTGTATAAATAAAGTTGAATTGAACTGTAGCCAAGGATCTCAGTCATCACTGCTGCCATGCTGTAGACCAGCTAGTTGGTTTTAGTAATGGTCACAGCAACGATTCTCCTTAATACGTACAGACCCATACATGATTACATTTTTATTACATTAGGTAAACTAAGCTGGTCCACTGACTGCTGAAATAGTCAACACAATCATGCAACATTTTGACTGGAAATCACTCAGAGACAACACAAAGTCATCTATATGGTGGCAGTCTGGACACCAGATCCAGTTCCAGAATTCCACAAATTCAACGACGTCCGATAAGCCTTCCTCATTACCTGTTTGTAAAGCCAGCTGCTCCTCACCACTGGGGCATTGGGGTTTCTCTTGATTGAGTTGGACCTCTTGCCAAAGTTGTGGACTTTTCTGGAAGACCTAGAAGGCTGTTTAAAGACGTTGATAGATGATGAATGTAGAGAATTTGGATGCCTAACATGTAACAACAGCTGCATAGAGAAAACATTAGATACATTTAAATGCACACAGTGTTTTAATAACAATTCACCAAAAGAATTAACCCCGCAGACCTGTACACAGAATTTATAAAATTACGAGCTGGTTACAGTGAAAATCGCCTTCTTGAAAAAGACTAAATTTACAGTTCAGTATTAAATATTACTATAAAATGAACTACATACAAAGTGTATTTGAATGGCAGAGATGTCATGGCTCAGTGTCTCACTGAGTCTCACAGGCCTGAACGTGCGCTGGAAGCCGTTTGTAATTCTTACCTTGTTTTAACAGCAGCTCACCACAAACAAGACAAACAGACATTTTGGACTTTTGACTGTATTTCCAGAAGTTTTACAGCTTTTCCTACTGATAAAATCCTCTTTTAGGGCCGTTCACACAACAGAGTGATCAGGAATAAACAATTAAATGACAGAAAAGTGTCACGCTCCCATGTCTCTCTGACTGGCCCACACTGGCTACAGGTTTGGTTTGTGTTTTTCTTTCTCTCTCTCCTCCCCACTGTCTCCTGCCTGGGCGGAGCTTGTTACTGGGCTCTCACCTTTGGCCCACTCACCTGGGCTGATTGCCACCACCTGCTGCTGATCTGTAGTGATTATGCTGCTGCTATTTAAGGTGAAATCGCTGGCTTAAACTACCCATTGTCTCTGTATATAGATCCCCCGGACCTGTTTGCGGACCCCTAGTGACATTCCTGTGTAGTGATGGTCAAATGAAGCTTTCTGAAGCTTGTATTGAAAAACGGTTCATTACTCGAAGCTTTTCAACACAGTCCTCTCTGGTGACATCTGGTGGCCAAAAATATGAAGCGCAGCTTGAATCCACAAAATAAAACCAACTGCTTCATTATGACTGCTCACTCTACAGAGCGGTGTCCTGTCTGATGTTGGGCCGCTGTTGTGTTGCTTTGAACGTGTACTTTTTGGTGGTTAAAAAAATGTGTTTTACTTGTTTAATAAATAGTTTTGACCAGTAAACTCTCCTTGTTCAAACATGCACCATGGTGTGGTCTTTCTTTGCTTGTGATGTCTTGATGTTGGTAAATACAATAATTGAAAAACACCACATTACATATAATAATGTACAACACATTATGGAGTATGCTTCTGCTGTGAGGTCCCGCCTCCATGCACTTGTGCAATTAATCGCTAGACGGGTATATTTATAAATAATATTATATTAGGGACATTTACCCAGACATATTTTTGACCTGGGGGTAGAATTGATTGTGAAATGGAAAGGAAAATGCTTATGAACTTGCAAATTAAAAACATGATGCATTTAAGGTAACCCTTTTTCATTTGTATTTAAGAAGAGAATTTGTTCCACTGTGCGATGGCCGAATCTGTTCCTTTTCGTGGAGATAATTTCTCCTGCATTAAGGAAAATCCCTTCACATGGAACAGAAGAGGCTGGAGTGCAGAGAAACTGGTAGAGATGCAGTTATACAGTCTATCTGGGCCCCACCAACTATCAGCTAAAGAGAATAGACAGATTACATTGCTGCACATTTTGCAGACTAACATTTTCAGATTAATTAAACAATAAAATATATATTTTTACAACATTACATGTAAAGAGTCAAGTGGGAGTTTTTCTACAGTTATTTAATGATATTTATATTATGGAAGCAGATTTTTGACATTTTACCTTTTTCCTGTTGTCAGATAAAATAAACGCACAAAACAAAAGCAAACACAAAGCTGGAAAACCCACCCGACTGACCAAAATCAACTCAAAATCCTCCCACACAACAGAACCTCCGAATCAGTGGTTCGCTATCTGTCACCATGAAACACTCCACAAATCCCGCGAATGATTCACTTCCTTATAAACCATTGAATCAGACACTGAAGCAGTTAGGCTCTAAATGAAGCTTCGGACGTCACTGATCACGTGACTCTGGCCAAACGAATCAAGCTTCGACACAGTGCTTCTGAAGCACCGGAGCTTCAGCTTCAAGCGGGCCATCACTATTCCTGTGTGTGGCATCGTTAGTGGCCGAAGACGAGCGAGTGTGAGTGGAGGAAAAATGGTGGTGCGTTTCCCTTCCCTCTTCTCCCTGGAGCCCTGGACCCCCACCCAACTCACTACAGATATATATGTACAGCACTCGTGTGTTCCCTTTGTAAATAAATTAGACGTTTTGTCTTTAAGAATTGTGTCTGTGTTTGAGTTCGTTCCATCACCGTGACAAAAAGTTTCTGGTTTTCAATTTCTACTATAGAAATTTATTTTTTCTTTTATGACAAAATTGAAAAAACAAAAATAAAAGTGGACAGTCTGGTCTATCAGAGCCTTTTCTGTAATATTTCTTACAGTTTAAGTCCAAAGAGTCATGCAGACAGATTGTTTCTTTGTCACAGCAGCTGCTTCTTCATCATGTAGAAAATCAGTTAAATATGTACCTTTTGACAGAAAGGAGAGTTTCACCTCCTTTCCCACTTTGACCTTAAGTGGAGCGGCCCACTTAAGGTCAAAGTGGGCTGATGTAAAATGAGTTTGACACCCCTGATTTAACTTAACATGAGTCTGGTTGTAAATGAGGCTCTCACACAAAAACAGCAGCCTATGTACAGTGGGGCAAAAAAGTATTTAGTCAGCCACCGATTGTGCAAGTTCCCCCACTTAAAATGATGACAGAGGTCAGTAATTTGCACCAGAGGTACA